AAGTCCATCATGATCGACGCCGAGGCCCAGTCCTGACCCCTGTTCAGCTCGCCCATCATCTGGACCCATTCTGCTCGAGCCTGCTGCTGCCACACTGCCCTGTCGCAGCTCTTGCCCGAGCTGGCCCACCAGTAGTCCCTGTCGTGCGACGCCTCCCAGGCCTTCGCGATGCCCCTGCGGAGCCTGCCGTGGATGCGGACCACCGCGCCCAGCAGCGCGATTGGACGGAGGCCCCCGTCCGACTTGGGGATGAAGGCCAGCTTGGTGATGAAGGAGGGCCAGTCGCACTGCAGCTCGATGGCGACCAGTAAGTCGATGAGCGCCTCGATCCCAGCGTCGTCGAGCACGCCCAGCTCGTGCGGGCGCAGCGCGTCGAAAGACGAGCCGCTGGAGTCCCTGAAGGTGGCGATGACCGTCCTGATCTCGCTCACCGACGGTCGGGCAGGGCGCTCGCCAAGATCTGCTGGCCACTCGAGCGACTCCTTCGCGAGCTCGCCCCCCAGCGGCGCGGGGGCCACTACTCCCCAGTATCCTGACCACTCCTTCACCAGGGCTTGGACCGTCTGAGAGAGCGTTCGAGGCTCGCTCCCTGGGGCTCCAGAGTGCCTCGCTTGCCAGCTCTGCGGAGGTTTGGTCCAGGAGTGGAGGGCCCCCGTACCTCTAGCGTGGTTCTCGGCAACCCAGTCTGCGAAGCCAGCCTTCGCCTTGTCTGCGTCCCGCTGCGCAAGCTTGTCTGCCATGGTGGCGGCGATGAAACTCGCAACCTGCAGCTGGGGCAGATCCATGAAATGCGCCGCCTGCGCGAAGCCCAGCAAGGTGATGTGAGCCTGCGCTGTCTCCTGCCTGGAGTCGGTCCGAAAATCGGGCTGAGCACAGCACAATCGATCTAGCGCCTTCAGCGCCCTAGACCTCTTCAGCTCGATGTCGGTCTGAGCAGCGTCCTTGAGCGCGATGGCCACGCTCTTGCACCAGGAGGTGGTGGCGGTCGCCCTCGGCAGCCTGGGCGCCGTCGGCTTCAGCACCTTGACTACGGCCAGCCTGGGGCGCCGTTCGCGTCCAGCAAACTCGTGATAAGCGTGCTTAAGGCCGATGGCGTCCAGCAAGTACCGCTCGGCGCTGTGGATGACGGTCTGCCACATGCTGTCCAGCGAAGAAGTAGCCGCCATGCGGCCGCGCGCCTCCGCCCACCTCTGGGAGTGGTCCTCGGTACAGCACGCCTTGGGTAGATGGTACGGGAACTTCTTGGGGCCCTTCATGACCTGCATGTACCTGTTGACCGAGCTGGCGTTGAACCTAAGCTCGACAGGGAAATGAGGAGAGAGGTCCCACCCTAGCTTGATCTCCGCATGCGCTTCCGAGATCACGTGAGAGATGACGAAATAGTCGATCACCTTGCCCGACGGCCGAATTGTGCCGTCCGCTGGCGAGACCACCCTGCCTCCGACGCGCTCGAGAAAGCCAGAGCACTGGAGCTCGTGGGGCTCCATGTTGAAGTCTCCCGCGATCACGAAGGGTTTGCCAATGGCGCGAATCGCCATCGCGATGCCGTCCAGGATGCCGAGGTTGTAAGCCGAAAGGCCTTCGCCAACCTTCAAGTAGACGTTGATCCAAGCCAGTCCCCCAGGGAAGGGGCCTGCTACATGCGCGACTGCCGCGCGACCTGGCGTGCGCTGCCCAGCCTCGAACTCGCCTAGGCCCGAGGACCTGGGCGCCAGTTGCAGGAGGCCCCCGTGACCTGCATGTCCAACAGATACGTCGGTAGCTGGCGTGGCAGCCGCATGCCAGCCCAGCCCCTGCAGCTTGTCGGTGACCTCGCAGCACCGCTCCTGAGACAAGTGCGTCTCTTGGACCGCTACGAGGTCGCAGCTCCTGAGACTCTCGTAGCCAAGAATGCTCTCGAACCTGCTGTACGCGTTGGCGTTGATGGAGAGAGCTGTCCACCAGCGCCCGCGAGGGCGGCTACCCTGAGGTCCGCGGCTTCTTGGCGGACCGCAGGACCTCCAGGGCATCGCGGATCCTCTTGCGCTGCTCGTCGTCATCGCCGCAGCTGCCAAGAAGCCCACCAGGATCGTCCCCGCCCAGGAAATCGTCGAAGCCCGCACCGTCCTCAGTTGGCGCCGCGCCTGCTGCGGGCGCCGCTGCGGCCTCACCTCCGCCAGGCTGGGCTGCAGCTGGCTCGGGGACGGGCGCGGCGCCGCCTGCTGCGACGGGAGCCCCGCCCTGCGGGCGAGCTGCCTTCGCTTCCTCGGCGAGCTCGTTGACCATCTTGGAGAGCTGCTCGAGGAGGTCCTGGCCAGAGACACCGTCGGTGTTGAGCGAGCCGAGCTTCTCCTTGATCGCGTCAGGGCTGATACCTCCGCCGTAGAGCGCGGCCGCCTCACGCTTGGCCTCCGCGAGCTCCTGCTGCAGCTGCGCGATGGCCACCTTCGTCGTGTGCACCTGCTCCAGCGCCTTGCGAGCCACCTCCGACTCGCGCTTAAGCCGATCATGGGCATCCGCGAGCTGGCGAGCAAGTCCGTCCACCTTCTGAGGCGCCGACCTTCCGACCAGACCGAGAGAATGAGCGCGACGAGCAGCCTCCACCTTCCCACGAGAGGACTGCGTGAGGGTGTGCTTAGTCGCTTCCCAGGTCTCCTGCGCGAGCGTGGCCCAAACCTTGACCTCCTCCGCGCTGAGGGTGGTGCCCGTGGAGCCCTTGTCGCCACCTGCACCCTTGCCCTTGAAGAGCTTGCCGTTGTGACCCCACTGGTTGCTCGGCGGCGAGTCAGCCCACTTGCCACGGGTGGGAGGCTGACGAAGCTGCCAAGGTTGCTGCCAGGGCTGCCCAGCTCCGCGTGGAAAGCGAGGTCGCATGCCTCCGCACCCCGGCTTCGTGCAACGAGTGCGGTCGGCCGCGTGGTACTCTCCACAAACGCACTGCCACTGAGGTGCCATGGCCGAGACAAACTCAGTGTTATAAGTGCCAAAACGAGGGGAGCCGCGCGCGCCGATGGAAGTCGAGCTCGGGAAACAGAGCTATCCCGTGGTTGCCAGGAGGCTTGCAGCCCCCCAAGCATTGAGTCTTGAGCCAAAATGGCTACGGAGGGAGTGGATGCACATGAGAAGGACAATCTATAGGAGCATGCGTAAAACACTTGGGATTGGAGCCGGTCCTGTGGCCTTCTGAGGCCTCCTGCTCCCGAGGCTTCGTGGGGGTTCCTGGAGCCATCCGGGGCCTCATGTTGCCTCCTGTCGCTTCCTGTGGCCTCCTATGGCCTCCTGCCGCTTCCCAGGGCCTTCTGGGGCCTCCTGGGGCCTCCTGGTGCCACTTGTGGCCTCCTGGGGCCTCCTATGGTTTCCTGTGGCCTCCTGATGCCTCCTGGGACCTCCTTTGGCCTCCTGGGTCTTCGTGGAGCCTGCTGGAGCCTCCTGTGGTATCCTGAGGAGGATCCGCGCCCACGAGTCTGGCCGGCAACACAGGCAAACCGTTCGAGACATCGTCGCAATCGGGGCCCCCTGGGGGTGCGAAAGCCAGCGCCTCGTACGAGACATCCTCCCAATCTGCTCCGAGAGCGGAGGATGTTGAGCCGGTAAACAGGCAAACGCTGGCGGCTTCCCCTTGGGGGTGCTGAAACCCGCGCCTCGCTCGAGACATCCTTAGACTCTGCTCTGGGCGCAGACGAGCCGGGCCCCCCAAACAGGCAAACCGATCGAAACATCCTCGCCATTATGGCCCCCTGGGGTGCGAAAGCCAGCGCCTCGCACGAGACATCATCTTGCATCAGCATTACTCATCATCTGCATCATCACCGCCGTCATTATATTATCATCGTCGTCACTCGGCATCATCATATTCTGGGTGCATCACCATGCTCTGAGTAGGATGGGGAAGAGAGGGGGAATGTGAGGAAGGAGATCCGCGCGGTCAAAGTAATAACAGGAACCCCATCAACAACACCACCATCAACAACACCGCAACAGCAATCCGCACCGTGGAACCCCACTGCTGCCACGCACCCATGGACAGTGAATGACCGTTCGGCCCCTGATTCAGATCTTTCCCAGACGGCCTCAGCGCGGGCGGGGCCGCTAACAGGCGCCATCGCGATTGATTCAAGAATCAGCTCTCGTCGCCGACCCCTCGGCGAGGCATCGACTGTGCGATGTATCGCCGAGTCAGGCTCGTGGTATCCCCGGGCGTGGCATCCCCGGGAGGTTGTTTTCCTGTCCAGGGTTCGTTTTCGACGGCCACCGGGGCCCCACACCCGAGAGGCCGCAATCCAGGGCAACAGCGCAAGACGGAAAACACAACATTGTCGACGATCCGAATGTGATACTTGTCTTATTCAATGTTCCGCCGATCGTCGCGGGCCCTCGCCCCCCCATGGAGTAGATCTTGGCTGTTTTCGGCGCCTGTTTCGAGCAGGCGAGGTGAACCCCGCGGGACGCACTGTTGCAAACAGTCGCGCTAAGCAGAGGTCCAGAGCCAGACCCCTCCCCTCCCCTCCTCTTCCGCCCCATGTTGGCACGCAGACTGCGAAAACGCTCACATGGAGGGCACGGAGGGCCACTGGCACGCGACGCGGCGGCTCCAGATGCTGGCACCGCCCTTTCCGTGCCCTCGTCGGCGCGGCGGTGGCGCCCGCGCGGCGACGTGTAGCCTCTCCGCGACGACAGTGCGCAGCCGCCATCGTCGTCGTCGTCGGCGTCGGCGTCGTCGTCGTCGCTCGCGTCGTTCGTCGCTCTCCTTCGTCGTCGCCGCTGCCGCCGCGCCGCCCGCGGCGTCGGCGCCACCGCCCGGGGCCGGCGCGGCGATATCCACGGCCCGCGGCGGACGGCGATGCGGCAGGCCGCTGTGCGCCGTTTGCAGCCGTGCGCGGTGCTCGCCGCGGCGGCGCTCGACGACGACGTCGGCGACCAGCGAGGACAACAAAGACAGAGACGACGCCGGCGGCGGCGACGACGACGAGCGACGACGACGACCACGGCGACGATGACGACCTCGTCCTGCCCCCCGGCAGTGCGACGTGACCGGGGTCCGGTGGCACGCCGTCGGCGCCTGGCGGGTGCAGTTCGACCGCAAGGACTACGAGCACAACTTCTTCGTGGGAGGGGGACCAGACTCGAGTGAATTCTCCGCCGCAAGCCCCGAGCTCCCCGAGGCCCCCCGACAACCCTAAAAAAATATCCCAGGGCTAATAGCAGCAAGTGTGAAGAGGCTGGTGGATCGGCGGCGAAATCCGAACCTTACCCTCGCCGATCACCGATTCAGGCAACTCGATGGATGGCATGGTCAGGGTTCGGAGTTCGTCGAAACGTGTCGATATCCGAACCCCACCCCCGCCTCCTATCGACTCGCGATTCGCGATTCGCGATTCGCGATTCGCGATGCGCTAGCCAGTCAGCACAGACAACCAGTCACCAAGTAAGTTGTGGGTTTACCAAAATGTTGTCCAATCAGTTTGCTGCCTGGCCTTCCTGCTGACGAGTTTGCGCACCCTCAGAGGCGGCACTTCAATGGACGCATTTGCCAGTCAACACGAACCAGCCACTCAGCCTGTTGCCTTCTTTGCGTTCTCCCATTGCAGTTGTTATTAGCCTGCGCGGGCCCAGTCTGCGCGGGTCGTGCTGCGTCACGATCCGCGCCAGCGCTGCCTGGGAAGGGTCCGGGGAAGTGGCGCCATCGTCAAACTCGTCACGACATCGGCCCCCCTCCCCCCCCCCCCGGGCGTAAGGCGCCGTGGTCTCCAGAGGAGGGCTCGTGCCTGTGCGCCCTCTGGAGATCTACGCGTTGCCAGGCCGCCGGCCGACGGCTCCATGGACTGGGCTCACACACAGAATGCCGTGGCCGGCTTTCTAGGGAGCGCGCAGATGTTTGAGCCAGATGTTGTGTTCCCCGCTCTCTGGCGTCTGCTGGCAGCGCCGACGTAGTCAGTCATCTCCGCCCGCGCCGATGGTTTTGGACAGTCTTCTTACCATAGGAGGCGTTCCAGACGGGGCCTCGCCTTCGCGGATCGAAGGCGTTGTCGTTTCTTCCTCGGCGTATGGCGGCGGAAGGCCGGCGGAAGCAAAACAAGGCCGCCTCCGCCGGGGGAAGTTGGCGGAAGTTGGGCGGAAGGCGGCGGGAGCGCGCAATAGAATGATACCCAGGATTTGAGGCCTTCGACTAGTGTTTTGAATGCCCGATGCTGGGAATCCGAAGGGACCTAAGTGTATTCGACTCAGTGTCTCACGGAACGCTGGCTGATTGTCTCCGGCAGAGGCGAAACATCAGGTATAGTACGGTTAAGCATTCGTAGTACAGGTGGGACACCAGAGAAAACGCTGTTAGTGCTAAGGCTCAGCTTTCATCGGTCGGCAGCGAGATAAGCGAACTTGTGAGGCGTTTTGCGTTAGTTCCAGCCGACGATCGAACGAAGCGAAGCTTTGAGCCAGCCCCCCGCTTATCGCCAGACTTTCGTTGCCTTTGGGGGTCCGAACAGAGTCATTATGCACGCATATCAGTGCAATGGGGCGGGCGATGGCTTCTGCGCCCTGCCGTCCCAGAGGCTGACGACAGGGGAGACGCTGCTGTCGTAGCTGGGTGGTCTGGCACCCCACAGGTTGACATGTCTAGTGCAGATTGCCCTCTCTGCATCCTGCGGGCAGCACGTCGGGAGGTCAAGTGCAGCTGCTACTTCCGCGTCAGTATCTACGGGTTCGACCGCGCCAAGGATTCGAGTAACGATGGTTAAAGAGGAGGAATAGGAGGGGCGGGAGAGAGGTTGAAGAGAGGGGTGAAGGAGTATTGGGAGAGAGAGAGAGAGAGGGGGGAGAGATATGTATAGCGTATAGAAAGAGAGGGATATACACACACATAGATAGCTTACATATGTTGGAATATAAAGAGAACACCTCTACGCGCAGACAATGGTAGAGTGATAGAGAGGGAGAGAGAACATAAAGGCCATGAGAGAGAGGGAGAGAAGGATACGGCGAAGGAAGAAAGGATGCAACTAAGGATGGAAGGATGGGGATGAGAGGGAGACAGCCGACGATGAGGAATATTCAGGAGGCGGAGGAGGAGGGAAGAGGATGAAGGGCAGCAGGAGGACGAGGTGATCATGGTCGACTATGATGCGGCCAAATGATCACATACATTGTCGTTTGTGTTGCAGGCGACGGGCAGGAGGCGTACAGCTGTAACAGATGCCCAGCCCATCGGCGAAGGCGGTAGCGGCGGCGGAGCGCGAGGTCGAGAGGCCAATTCTTTACGCTTCGCGTACCCCCACCAGCCCATCTCACAGCAACACCTCTTGTGAAGCATGCCGACAGTGGTGTGTGTCAGGCGTGTGTCCGCTGGGTTCCGCATAGCTCCCCTGTTCCTCCTTCCTCTCGCTTCCGTGTAGTGGTACTAGTAGTCGTAGTAGTAGCAGTAGTAGCGACACGACAAGTTTCAGTGGCAGTAGATGTAGGTGTCGTGGTAGAAGGAGTAGTGCTCGCAGTAGTAGTAGTAGGATTAGGAGGCAGAGCAGCAGTAGTACGATGAGTAGTAGCAGCAGTAGTTGTAGTAAACCTCGTAGTAGCAGTAGAAGTAGTAGCGGGAGTAGTAATAGTAGGAGTCGTCGTAGTAGTCGTAGTAGTCGTTGTAGTAAATGTAGACGCAGTAGTGGTAGTGCCATCGCCGACGAGGAACCCCAGCGAAGCATGCCGACAGTTGTCTGGTGCAAGCATGTGTCTGTTTCCCTGTACGTGTACTCTATGGTCCGAAGCAGGAGGAGTCGGAAGAGGAGGCGGGAGGGAAGGAGTTAGGAGGCAAGACAGAGGGCGGCCGTCGTCGAAACCAGCGATCTTTCCCCACCAGCGTTGTTGTCGTTGCCACTCTGGCTTCTAGTATTGGAGTGTGGCTGTGAGCTTCGCTCCGCCTACCCGTAATAGTCTCCGCCTAGTAGCATCATCGTTGCGGCTGGCATGGAGAAGCGCCTGTGCTTTGTTGTACTTTTGCTTGCCACGGGGGCTCTTGGAAGCGAGCGCGCAGAATATTGGTTGCCGGCACTCTCGCTTCATGTTGAGCTTCCACAGTGCGGTCGGCGCGCGGCACTTTCTTTCCCATGGCTTCGAATGTGGTGGCGATGACGATGACGACGATGACGAAAGGACAACGACGGCGCCGACGACGACGACCACGACCACCACGTCAATGGTGACTTGGCTTGCGGCCCGAACGCACGCGCCTACTGTGTTTTTTGGCACGAGGTGGCTGGTGTGCGCAAATTCCGCACGTAGCCCAGCACCGCTACGAGATCTCCATTTTTGCATCTGATGTGAGTCATATTCTTCTCCATTCGCCCCGCGTTCGCGTCAGCAGGTCGTCGTGGCGGTTAGCGGCCGGTGACATGCAGGCGCGGCGGTCATCGCGAGATGTCTCAGAGACGCGCCACTTTCGATATTTTCTCGGCACGATCCATCGTCATTGCGACATCAGACCATGGATTCCCCTCCACACCTATACACGCATGTATTCAATACAGAAGCACGCATAAATCAAAGGCGGTCCGACACACATCAAGAAAGCACAGAAAGACATGCACGGAAGTTCAACGTTGTCCTCTGCCTCTTCCCAAGATAGTAAGAGTGGTGCGCCATTTTTCCTGCGGATGTTGAGTAGGCGCATGTCGAGGTCTGAGAGTCGAAGTTCCAAGTGTCGTCTGCCGCGCTCGTGCGCAGGTCACGCGTGGAGCGTTACGCAACGTGTGGGCTGAAGTGGTTCGCTTTGCCTTATGGAAAAACGGGACACAGTAGATTTAGGTAGAACGCTCTTCGTAGCCGTACAGGAGTACAGTGTGCTGAGAGGTCTTGCAGGTACGCAAGAGCTCGAGGCTCTCAACATGACTGTCGGCGTATCCCGTCACAGTCCATGTAGTGGATCGAGGCGCATCGTGCCTCAGGGTGTCCAGGGGCATGGGGTCTAGTTCTCTCGTGTTGCAGGTTCCCCCGATTGTCAGGATATAGTACTATACAAGCCTGTGCTTGGTGCAGTTCCAGGTAACTTCCAGGGTTCTCACAGGGTGTCTACGTGTAGCATGGCTTATACTGGACACCTCAATCCGTCGGCGATTATCGAGTGCCACATTTCAGACATGCCATGTTGTGTTGCTCGTGTGGTGTCCCGTGGAATCGTCTGCGATCTTCTCCAAGTTTGGTGTTCGAGTCAGTACTCCCCGGCGACGACGTCGACGAAAACGACGACGTCGACGACCCTGCCGCTCGCTCGGGGCTGCCGTCTTCGCTGCTGCCGCGTTCGTTTCTCTCGAGGAGTATCTCGACGATTCTTACGTTTGGCTTCAAGGGCGGCCTACGCTCCCTCGTTCGGGTTTCTTGTTTTGCTGGGACGTGTTCTAGGAGTCGTTCGGGCCGTTCGTTCGCGCGTTCTGCTTCGCGAATGTTCTGCGCGCCCCTGGGGCCGTTCGTCCTGGCGTTAGTCGTTGGGGCCCTTCCTTGTGTAAGAGTCTCTCGAGATTCTCGGGGCGTTGCAGGTTCGGGCGCCGCGCCTTGGTGTGAGTTCTTCGGCCTTCTCATTGTTTGTGAGTGGTTGGCGCGTGTTGTGGTCTGCGACACATTTGGGCTGTTCGTTGTGTGAGTCGTTCGGGCTCTTCGTCCTGCTGTGAGTCGTTCGGGCCTGTTCCTTGCGCGTGAGTCGTTCAGGCTCGTCGTGGTGTCCGTCGTCCAGGCCCGTCGTCCTGGTGAGAGTCGTTCGGGTTCGTCCGCGTGTGTGAGTCGATCGGGTTTCTCGTGGCGTGAGCAGTTCGGGCAACTGGGGCTAGTGGGAGTCGTTCGGGCCTTTCCGTGTGTGTGAGACGTTCGGGATCGTCCTGCAATGAGTCGTGACCTCTGGTAGAATTGTAATCGGTCGTTCCGTTCTTCATCTTCTTCCTCCTTTTCCTTCTCGGAGTTCTTGTCGCGCGGCCACGCAGGTTTTCACGTGAGTGGTTCGGGGCAAGACGCCGAAGGCTAAGGAGCGCCCAGGAGTGCCCCAGCGTTGTCGTCGCTGTTGCCACTTTGGCTTACAGCATTGCGGTTCGGCTGTGAGCTTAGCTCCGCCCATCAGCAAACGCCTCTCTCTCAAGGTTTCCTTGCTGTCGGCATGGAGAGGTGCTGGTGCGCCCTGACACTTTGGCTAGCATAAGGGGCTCCTTGGAGCGAGCAGGGCGAGGAGTCGGTGATCATGCCTCCTTTCTGTGGCAAGGACCGATCGTCGCCGCACTGCCGCCGCCCAGCATACATGGCGGAGTGCTTGCCGCCAGAGCTAGTTCTGCACATAAACCTGAACGCCGCCAGAGCAATAGTGTTCACGAAGCAGGCTGTCGCGGTCAAATTCGCTCACATTACGAAGAAGCCGATGCAGGATGGCAGCGGCGACCTCAATTGCATGAGGAAGCTCGTCGCTCAGGTGGGCGCGAGTTTGTATTTCCATGTGTGCAGCGTGAACCCGTTCACCGACCAGGACGCCCGTTGGCGCGTAGACTTCGTCGGCGACGTTGCAACTGTGAAGCATCGCATGTCGGGGATGATAAGTACGCTGGAGTGTCGAACATGGGCATCCAGGGCAATGCGCGTAGCGCAGGTTTTTGAGACCCTGCCATTGCTCACCCTCACGTGAGCCCACTTAGTTGGAAGCAGCTTATCGGAGCGGATCGCTCTATGTCGGCACGGCAGCGCCGAGAAATGGGTACGCTATTCGCATCAGGCGCAGTGGACTACGAGCAGTCCTTCCTCTTCGGCGGCATCGTACTTACCCGCGAGAGCTTGCTGTGAAGGGTTTGGTGTATTTCGCTGTGACGATGGCGGATCTCTCGTGCAACAATTCGGCAGGTTTGTTTGGTACTCCGCGTGGGTGCATTGGGTGAAGTGGTCAAGCTGATGTCTAGGCGCTAGGTCTCACTGGAATGGCTGATAGGGTCACCCAGTCCGACCAAATAATCATGTCGTTCGTATCTCTGCAACATCTGTGCGAAGCAGATTGGCAGTTTTTCCTCGGCGGATGCGCTTAGAATTCCAGGCGGTCCGCTACGTAATTGCCGAAGGAAGAGCGTTGGTGGTGCGTAGCAGTGATGTTGCTCGAGGACCCCGACGGCGGCGGCGTGGAAACGTCGAAAGCGGCGACGACGGCCACGACCACGACGGCGACGACGACGATGACCGCTCGACGACGTCGACGACGACGACGACGATTCGTCGAGGACGTCGTCGAGACAACGACGACGACGACTACAACGAGAACGTGAATGGCGACGCTGACGACGCCGACGCCATTTCGACGACAGGGGGAGCACTCCTGGTAGCGCTTTCATTCTGGAGAGCGAGCGGAACGCTCGCGGCCATCCTTTTTATGCCTCGATGTGGCAGGGTTGTTGAGGCAGGTGAGATCGGCCATGACCCGTGCGGGCTCGCCGCTGTCTCTCAGGATGACGTTTCACTCCTGGCTCCCTTGGCCTCGCCTTCGTGTCAGCATCGTTGTTGCGGTGACCGTCCGAGGACATGCAAGCGCGGCTGTCACCGCGGAACGTTCCCGGGACGCGTCACCGACGAGCCTTTTTTATGCATCTTCTCGCCCTCTTGCGACATTCAGGGGCCCTTCTTGCCCAATACATGCGCGTACATACATGGAAAACGAACACGCAGAACAGTCCACTCATCCACAATAGTAACACAACAGGAACACCCGACAGAGTTG